GTAATTAAACCCTCAACAAACCTTTTCTTGATTCCGTCATTAATCCTGTAAAATCAGCGTTGATCAATCCTACAAATACCACGAGGGAATTCTCAAAAAAAAGTAACATGTTTTCATTTAATTCCTAAAACTATTAGAATTCCGTTTTTGTTTTGTTTTTTTTTCAAAGCTATCTATATATACAATTCCGTGACTTCCGTTATTTCGATCGTCCATCACACACTTTTTAAATAGCCATACATTGGCCGATAGAAACCAAATTTTGGAGAGAAAAACAAACAGGTAACGGGGTACGAAGTACAGTTGGTTTTACTAGAGTGCATAGCTTAGTACAATGAATTTTAATTACTTCCCCCCCCCCAAAAAAATAGTAGAATTAAAAAAAAAAGCGATTGGTGTGCGAAATTGAACGAAACATAGAGTTTGTAAATCTCGACAAAAGGGTTAGCAATAACTTCGACGATACTGTGTGAATTGCAAAAATGTCTACTAAAAGATAAAGTGTTTACAAATCCGGGGAGAGTTTTATAAAAATAATAAAAATACTCAGTTCATGCTCTCATAATTACACATCTGATGAAATTAGAGAGCTAATCCAGATGGATTGTATACCGGGTTTCTGCAAGCAAAAAAAAAAAAAAAAAAAAACTTAGGAGGAGAATAAAAAAGATAGAATATTATTTGCCCGAAAACTGGCTTCAACGAAAGCGCTAAACCGAATCTTCAATCCGCCGAATGGATCCTTTCACCAGAAAACCTAAATCTAAAATTAAAGCCTAAAAATTAAACTCGTTAATTTAATTGTTGTTTATTTACGATAATGTATGATTATGGTGTATGGGTTGTATCGTTAGTGGTAGTCGCTTTGCAGCAAAGCGGTCCACCCTGCTTTTACTCAGTGCAAACAGATAAGGGTGTACCCTTATCTGTTTGCACTTCTTCCCAAAATCTGGTGTCGATCGGTCAATGTGTGACTATTTTAGACAGTGTGACGGACAGACTAACGTAAGTCACGTAATTGTATATATAGAGATAGGTAGATTCCGAGAATAAAACCAAAATATTAAGCAACGTGGATGAAGACTTCAGTGATGAATTTATGGAGAAAATTGTATTCATTATCGTAAAAAAACAAATAAATAATAAAAATCTTAAACTGTACATGATTAATGCGTAAATAAACATGGGACGATAGCCTAGTGCGGTGCTTCTCAAAATCTGATGGAACGTACTGGCATTTTTTTTTCAATGTGCGAGTGAGCGGGGAGCGAAGCTTTCTAATTCATCTTTTTTTCTTTTTTTATATATATATATATGTCCTATTTCTGTACATGAGATCATGATATATCTCTATCGATAAAAGGCAGGATGTGTGTGTGTGTGTGTGTGTGTGTGTGTGTGTGTGTGTGTGTGTGTGTGTGTGTGTGTGTGTGACGAATGCACGGCCGCAATGTTCGACGGATTTGCACCAAAATTTACATGCACATGCTTCCAAGTTAGCGGGAAGGCCAAGACCGACATTTCCCAACTCCATTCGATAGTGGAAATAATCGATTTTTTAATGCTTCTACGGAAGTTTTCATGTAGTTTGGGGCCATTTTCTACTGGCCAAAGTGAGATCCTATACCTGGCTGCCACGAATAGACAGGAAAATTCTATTGGCCAGCGTGAGAGCCAACAGCTGACTGACACGAATGTTAAATAGCAAAAAAAAAAAACGATAGCTGAATTCGTCACAAGTGGGAAAAATTTAAATCTGCATGGCACTTTACTCCAATTGACTCACTCGCTTGCTTAAACTCAACGTTGATTCTGATTCCGCAGAACTGGGTTGGGTGTGAAAAAGTATTTGTTGTTAACATTCTTTTTTCATTCGGTTTTTCCAGTTACGAGTCATTTTTCAAAGCTGATCGTTTTGTGTTCATTTTGTTTAGTTCTTTTTTCGTAACAGATTTAATGTTTAGTATAGGGCTTAGAAAAAATTCTCAGTGTGAGAAGTAAGGCATGTAAGCAACATCAGCACGGCAAAAGGGCACTCCTTTAAAGGCAATGAAGGGCAAAAATATTTTAAGTCAAGTGACAGCGATTGCTGTATGAGTCGTACGATTTTTGAATCAAGCACGGGCAACGCCGGGCCATGCTGCTAGTTCAATCTAAGGCCAGTCATTATTGGCGTAACAAGTCTTCCCAGGGTACCAGGGAATGGTACCATATTTGTGCCATATAATTTATATGATAACAACCCGAGAAAATATTATCTGAAAATTCCCAGTATTAGTCATTTATACCAGATAGATTATGAACCTAAGGAATTAAATACTAATTCTTAAAATTTTTGCCCATATCCTTGTGGCCATTCCTTTTTCCACAGCCAGGCGAAATTTTTAAAGGCCAAATTAGAAATATATGTCCATGAAAATGGCCTTTTGATATTCCTAGGCGTGGTTCCTCAGACACATATTTGCCACATCATCATGGTCATGTTGTCATACGTATTTCA